CGTCCCTGGAGATGTCTGAGTTGGAGATGCATGGCATGTATGCAATTGGCATGCATATCCGATAATCCCACCGCCATATAATAATACCACAAAGTAAAAAGTTATGACATGAATTTAGGTATATATTTGCATTATGGTTTTCCTATCTCGAGAAAAATATAAAAATAAAAATAAAGAAGAATCCAACCAAATAATCGAGTTAAATCAATCTTCAAATTTAATTTGGTTAAAATATCAGCTTAGAGTCTAGTTGATCATTCTCAAATTTCATGTTCTGGAATCTTAAAATTTTAAATTTGAATTTGGAACGAATTTCTTATTTTAAAGTTCATATTTCAATTCCTCCGTCCCTAAAAACATTTTTCGTTTATTTTTTTATCCGTCCCAAAAAACACTTCTTATTTCTATTAAAAAGTCACTTTTACCTCATACTTTTTCATACCCTACCTATTACATCATACTTTTTTACTAATAATTTACCCACCAAATTCTACTTTTACTCATCACATCAAAAGACTTTTTTTGGAAATTCATTACCAAAATACACTTGCCTTAAATATCTTTTCTTGTCATTTGAAATTAACAAAAATTCAGATTTTGAAATAGAAATATAAAAATTGAAATAAAATACTAATACCCAAACATTCCTTTAATTAGTATTTAGATTTATACTACCCCGGACCACATTTCAATTCACACCAATCACCCTATATACGCTACTCCCTCCGTCTCTGAAAATCATTCTTCTTTCTTTTTTCATCTCTCCCAAAAAACAATTCTTATTTCTATTAAAAAGTTACTTTTACCCCTAACTTCTTCATACCCTACCTATCACATCATACCTTTTTACTAATAATCTACCCATCAAATCCTACTTTTACGCATCACATTAAAGGATATTTTTGAAAATTCAATACCAAAATACACTCCCCTTAAATCTTTTCAAAATCAAAACATCCCATGTTTATAGGGTCGGAGGGAGAACTCGTTATATTGTTTCTCTTTACCCCTCAAAAAAAAAGTTGTGTTAGTTCCGTGGTATTGGCTAATCTTTTGGCAAAATAGAATCCCATATTTGTTAGGTGTTTTACTAGGTAGAAGCCTCTATTTGTTAGGAGAGGTTTATTTTATTTAGACTTCTAGAGTTGCTGCACTTTTCGAGGTTGACACAGAAGATGCTATAACATGATGCTGCAACACACTGTTCGGGATTAGAGGTCTGAGCACGAGATTTTAAGCTACAATCTGAATTAGAGACCTATTGGGATTGTGATTACATGATAATAACTCCAACTGTACATGCTAAGGAATCCCAACTCTTTAGGCTACTTGTGGATCAAGATTAAGGAAGTAGAGTTCAAGCCAACTTCTACTAACCTATTCCTACTAGGATTGTGTTAAGAGAAGCCTATAAATACGCAGCAGGTCCCAGGGAATTACTTGGAGCGATTGAGAGGGAAAATAGAGAATATACGCTGATGTAGAGCAATCCCGTCGCGTCCCGGAGCTTCCCTTGCATGAAGAAGGTTACGATCTACATGAAGGAGGAGATCTTCAACTCCAAACAGATCGTGACGTCCAGGAGATGAACAAGAGCTGAACGAGTGGGCTGCCAACACGTTTGTCCTCGTGATCTCAGTGGAGATGTGATAGCCGAAGCGGATCTGAACAGAGTTCGGGTTAGAAATTCTAGATTAGAAGTTTTGTCATAGCAATTCGGAGAAGGGTGTCTCATCATGTTGTTATGTACCGGTGTAACTTGCATCTAGTGATTTAGTGGAGGGCTATTACACGGACGTGGGCCCCACAGATTAGGAGAGTTTCTCCGAACTGCTTAAACATATCTGGTGTCATTTTTACGCATATTATAGTTATAGCATTCTGCCCAGTAGGCGCTGTAACGCCTGCTTTTGTGTGTGCTTGTGACAGAAAAGTGTTATAGCACGCTGTCTGTCATCTGTTACTGTGACAATGATGCAGCATCTTCTCTGCGGCATAGTGGATTGATTTGTTTGCATAGCTCTTAATTGGTGATTTCCGTTGCGCCCCCACGAACTTACAAGTTGTGTGTGTTTAGAAGACCAAATACCTCGAGTACTCCATGAAGTATAGAAAATGGGCATCATAACTATCTTTTCTCTTTTCAAAACTTTATTACGTATTTAATACTTCCTCCGTTCCAAAAAGTTTTTCACATTTTGACTAAAGTGAAAATTAAGGGAGGGATATTTTTGTGTTGACTTTCCAAAAATAACCTTGATTTGATGTGTAAAAGTAGGATGTGATGTGTAGATTATAAGGAAAAAGGTATGATGTGATAGGTAGGGTTTGAAAAAGTAAGGGGTAAAAGTGGTTTTTTAATAGAAATGTGTAGGAGATTGTGGGACGCAATTTTTTTGAAAGGTGTAAATCTTTTTGGGACGGAGGGAGTATATTTTATATGTATATAACCTGGTCTTCTTTTTTCAAAAGAGGGTACTTGGTCTATTTCTTTTCTCTGACTCTTCTTAATTATTAGCCTAATGACTGCAAACATGATCGAAAATCTACCACTGACTACGTACATTCTCATACTTAGCTCCAATCTATCTCTTGGTGCATGTACAAATTAAAAAAACACTCATGTTTCTCGCTATTCTACTGAAACCAAATATGGTGTGTCATGGCGGCGAGTGTGGAAGAAGTCATGTGGCTACAATACATTATTGATGCTCTGGCCAGGCATTCCTCCTCCAAAATCTCAGCTCTACTACGACAAGGAATCTACTATCTGTGTAACAAGGAATCGAGTTTTACATTATCAAATTAAGCATATTGTTCTGATTGCAATTTTGTGTGCGATTAGGTCATGGCGGGCACCATGACTACTCATCACATTTAGTCGTCCGGACAGCTAGCCGACAACTTCTCAGAACCGCTTCCGCCAATTCTATTACAGTACATGCGCTCCAAACTATCCCTCGTTACAATTGATTAGTTTGCAAGAGAATATTAGAAATTACAAACTACGGAGTACTACGTATTACGGAGTATATTACTATATTTGTTATTCCGTATTTTACTTTGATTAAGATTCTAGATAGGGCCAAGCCCACTAAAAAAATTAGTAAAACAAATTACTATCAAATTATATCAAAGACAAACCTAATTACATGAGACTAGCTAGTTAGATTGGGCCGAGCCCATTAAAAAAAATAATACTCCAAAAAATAACATTAATTGCTAACAAAATTTTATGTATAAATGATATGGTAACTAGCTATCATTTTGCATGTTTGGTATAACCAAATACCAAATCGAAATATTTCAGTATTAACCATACCAAACCGGTTAAATTTTTTAAGCTCAGCATTCGGACAATTCGATACACAAATTATTTTATCAAAATTTTAATTTACCGTAATTGGGTTCGATTCGATTTGGTTTTACTGAGTGAACACCCCGAGCTAGCTAGTATAAATTCTGATAGAATTTATGATGGGGCAAGAATAACTGGATTAGGCAATAGCCAATAAGACACTTGGGTTGAACCACATTAAAAGATTGATTCTGATCGATTAGTTAGTTCAACTCAAGAGTTTATATACCGATTATTTTGTTCTTGAATTTCCGATGTGGGATAACACTCTAACACTTCTCCTTAAGTGGACAACCGGGTCATTTTGAATCCAACTGGTTGACCACTTGGAAATAAAATCTCATTCCCTTAAATTTTTTTTGAGCGCCAATACCTAAAGGACCATGAGCCGCTGGGTATGGACTTCCAAACGAGCAATCGTGTTAAACGGGCCACATGTTGTTAGGTACATACTCCATACGGACAACTGGGCTAAAGACTACCGATACCATGATAGAATTTAGGATGAGGCAAGAATAACTGGATTGGGCAATAAGACACTTGGGTTGAACCATATTAAAATATTGAATCCAATCGACTAGTTAGTTGAACTCAAGAGCTTATATATCGATTATTTTTTACTTGAACTTCCGATGTGGGGTAACACGCTAACAAATTCCACCAAATGTATCTCAGGGCTATAAGTGTAACGGATCAGACAAATATATAGAATATGTCGGTGAAATTAAATGCGGGACCACTCTTTAATCTTTATTACTATAAGCATATGAATTCAAAACAAAAAGAGATTAAAAATAGACAATGCCCACATTCGTAATTAAGAGAAAGTTGAGGGACGGTAGAAATAAAAACAAAGGGGTAGTACTAGGGGTGGGCAATCGGGTCTAGGAACCGGGAGTCAGAAACGGACCGCTAGGTTCGGTCCGGGTTAGGGTCGGGTCCTCTTTTCAAAAATTTTAAACGGTTCGGGTCGGTCCGGTCCTTATAGATTTTAGGGTCGGTCTGGTTCCCTATTTTGAAATTGTATTGGACCCGGACCGGACCGTTTTTTTAAATCTCAATATTATTTAATATGAAGTATTATTTTTAGTAAATATACGGATATACAGAAATATATATATCCGCCTAAGCCCTTCAATCTTTCGGTCCTTCCAATCGCAAGCAGAAAAGTGAGAAAACTTTTCGTAGTCAGAGAGTTGGAACCCATGAAGATTGTGAATTTTGTTCTTTTTGGAACCCATTAACATTATAATGCCAAAATGTGATTGTCTTCTTTTTTTGTTGTTTTTGGATGATCATGGGGTCTACACTTTATTCTCATGCCCCTCTTTGTCATTGTTTTATTTTAATTTACGCCTCTTTTTTGTGTGTTAGATGACTTAAATTAATTTATTATCCCTTTATTTTTTTTAATATTAATATCATGATACGTTCGGACCTGTTGACCTGTGGAATCGGCCCGTTTCAAACAAGCCGGGTTAGGTCCGGTTTCAATTTTAAAATTTTGAAAAGCCGTTCCGGCCCGGACTGTTTTAATAAAAACAAGCCGAGTCCGGTTTATAAAAATTTTGGCTCGAACCGGCCCCGTGCCCATCCCTAGGTAGTACGTACAAGCTTATTGCGTAAGTGACTTGAACCTCACGCAGCAAAGTTTGTGCAGTGGACCTATATTTAAAACACCCCCGGCCATTTATCTCTCTTTCATATATACTTTCTCTCTCAATTATTGCTGCTTTACTCCTCCCCCTGTCTGAACAGAAATGGAAACATCATTATTCGAAGCCGGAAGGGAATTATTATTAGATTCTCCACCCCCACAACCACAACAACAACAACCACCGCAACAAGTAGCAGCAGCATTAGAAGAAGAAGAAGATGAAGATGAAGATAAGGAAGAGCTGTGTTGCCTTCTTCCTCCCGGATTCCGGTTTCACCCGACGGACGAAGAGATCATCTTGCACTACCTAAGACCCAAGGTCGCCGACAGTGATTTCGTTGCCCGGGCCATCGGAGAAGCCGACCTTAATAAATGCGAACCCTGGGATTTACCTAGTATGTCCTCCCATCCCTCATTTCTACTTCCTCTATCCCTAAGGCCCCGTTTGATACGCGGAATTCAAACTATGGAATTGGAATTGAGAACTTCAATTCCAATTCTGGTGTTTGGTAACACAAAAATTATGTAGATTTGGAATTGATAGCGCAAAAAATGAACTAGAATTGACAGAATTCAATTCTATGGAATTAAATCCCATGGAATTTCAATTCCAATTCAATTCCAATTCCAATTCCATCAATTCCGTATACCAAACGGATTCTAAAAGATATTCATGTTTCATTTTTTGCTCATCACATAAAACACTTCCACTCACATCTAAACCGTCTAAAATTTACCATAGTTTTCCTTTATTATAGATTGAAGTTTTTTTGACATTTAAGATTGGATAAAAGGGTTTTGTGGGATCGATGCATAAAAAATGACAGAAATATCTTTTAGGGACAAAGGGAGTAGTGCTAGCTTCTTCTTCTTTTTAATTGACTGACTTCTCCCTTAACTTTATGGCTCCCATATTTTTCGAATAAAATCAAGTCAATCAATTTCTAACTTTTTTCTTTTAATTTATTTGCCAAATTGAACCCTGCACGGAATATACTGCTGCCGTGCGTCGAATCTATCGCCTTTGGCATCTTATAATTGGCTCATTTCTTGGCGGAGTTTTAAATGCTTGCTTTACAATTACTCGATCTCTCTATTCGTCCCGTTTAATTTTCTAGAATTAAAATCAATCCACTTTAAACATCAATTACTCTTAATTCATACGGAGTATTGTATATTTACTCCCTCCGTCCTAAAACTTTCTTCTCAGTTTGACTTTTCTGCATTTTTAATTTTTAGCTTTGACTTCAAATTTTACTCTCCTTAAAAAAGATTTTTTGAAATTTTTTTTTGCAATCATTCAAAATATAGAGTTAGAAGATAATTGGTGTAAATACATGAGGGTATTAATGTCATTTGTCATCTTTTTTTTCTAATGGAAAGGTAGTTTTAGGACGGAGAAAAAGGGGAAGTGTGAAGAAAGTTTTAGAACGGATGGAGTATATAATATATGGAGTAATAGAATAAGATTTTGAAAGCTCTAAATAAGTTAAATTTAATGAATTCAATTTACGTGTTACAAAAAATGGTATTTCCATTCCAATTTTTTATATTGACACTCCAAAATGCATTATTTACCTCTCTTACATGAATAGTATTTCCTCCGTCCCTGAAAACCTTTCTCCTTTCTTTTTTCATCTGTCCCAAAAAACACTTATCTTTTCTATTAAAAAGTCACTTTTACCCCTTACTTTTTCATACCCTACATGTCACATCATACCTTTTTACTAATAATCTATCCATCAAATCATACTTTTACCCATCACATCAAAGGACATTTTTAGAAATTCAATACCAAAATACACTCCCCTTAAATCTCTCTTCAAAATCAAAACTCTCATGTTTTCCGGGACGGAGGGAGTATATTTTTCGACTGAAAAATAACAAAAAGTGAAATTTAAAAATGATTTCCCTTTTTGTACTAACATATTTTGTACATTACAATAATTGTTTAATTGAAGTTTAAATTCGTCAAGTTGACGAGAAAATGTGATATTAGGCAAATACTTCAGACCAAAGTATATACTCCGTACGTAAGTGTTTCCCCAAATTAAATTTCTAAGCAAGTACGAAGTAAGTTTTAGCAGTCTTAGAGCATCTTTAATATAAATTGCTTATATAGACTTCTTAGCTATTTATTTTTAATTAAAATGCTAAGCAACCCTCTATTAATTTGAAGCAATTGTGCTTCTATGACATAAGCCTCCTAAGCATTTTTTATTAAGATATTCCTAAGCAACTCTTAAGCATCTTAGGAAGTCATTTGATGCAGTGTTCTTGCGCTTGCATCTTTCCACGTACAATTGGGGTTTTGAATATAATAATAATAATAATAATAATAATAATAATAATAATAATAATAATAATAATAATAATAGTAGTAGTAGTAGTAGTAGTAATAATAATAATAATAATAATAATAATAATAATATAGATACTCATTGCTATTATTATTGATATTATTATTATTATTATAATTATAATTATTATTATTATTATTATTATTATTATTATTATTTCATCCTCTATCTTATATGAAGTTTATCGTTTAACTTCACAGAGCTTAAATATTGTGAAATTTGCACTAAATAGGACTAAAACATAATGACTTTCCTAATGTAGGACTTAAACTTTTTTATTCCCTAAATAAGACTTATTAATGACTTAGTGGAAGGAATAATGTCAGTAATGATGGATATTTAGTTGAATAATGACTACTTGATAATGACCAAAGGTCCTGCATTGGGAAATAAAAACATATGATCATATATTGGGAAAGTCATTATGTTTTAATTTAGTCCTATTTAGGTAAATTTCTCTTAAATATTTGTATCGACTCTATATGGAAAAATCTTATACTTCCTTGTCCCACAAAACCTTTCTCCCTTTTTTTTCATCCGTCCCAAAAAATTTCTTTCATTTTTATTAAAAAGTCACTTTTACTCCTACTAATTCTAACACTAGAAATATTTACAGTAAATAGCACTAAAACTTAAGTCATTTCTCTAAATAACACTTAAATAGTTTTACTCCCTAAATAGCACTAAATAATTTCCAGAATGAGAAATAATTGGAAAACATTTACTTGAATAATGAATAATAGATAATGACTAAAAGTGCTATATTGGGAAAAAACACATCTATGTAGGGAAAGTCATTATATTTTAGTGCTATTTAAGTAAATTCCTCTTCTAACTACATATCACATCACACTTTTTTCACTAGTAATCTACCTATCAGTCTATCACATCTACTTTTACTAATCACATCTAAAGACATTTTTGGAAAGTCAACGGCAAAATACATTCCTATTAAATCTCTTAAAAATCAAAACAAAAAATATTTTGTGGGAGGGAGGGAGTATTTGTCTATGCATGGAGGCTAGATTTTGGGATATTATATGTGGAAAGAAATAAAAATGGAAACTTTGTTTTGGAAATAGGGAAATCAAAAATGGGAGACAAGGAATGGTGGTTCTTTTGCCGGAGAGACAGGAAGTACCCAACAGGGATGAGGACAAACAGGGCGACGGAATCGGGTTACTGGAAGGCCACCGGAAAAGACAAGGAGATCTTTATGGGAAGGGGTAGTAGTAGTAGTAATTATAATAACAATCTTGTTGGGATGAAGAAGACCCTTGTTTTCTACAGGGGTAGAGCTCCCAAAGGACAGAAATCTAACTGGATCATGCACGAGTTTAGACTTGAAGGCAGATTCTCTTTCAACCACTCCTCCAATACATCATCATCATCATCAACTACTAGGGTAAGAATTATATTTGTGTTTATAAATTATAGCCAACCCCTAGCTTCTTATTCTTAATTATACAAACATTGTTAATTAATTGTCCATTATTTTGAAAAACATCTGAATGAAATATAAGTAATGTTTTCATTTGAAAAGTACTCGTAAGTAATTATAATTAGAGCATGAGTAATGATAAGTAAAAAAATGTCACATGATAATGTGGATTATTTATCTAATCAAAAGAAGTCCAGCCAGCATGTGACGAATGAATGGAGTGACATGTCTGGCAATGGCAAATCATTATTTTTGTCAGTTTTTACACTTTTCTAATGTATTTTAATTATTAAAAAGATATTTTACCAATTTTTTCCATAAAAAAAAATAGATGTACTCTTTAAAAATAAACTTCTTTTTTTGTACAAAAAAAACTGGCACGCGAATGAAATGCTTGGCGGGGTACGTGGAATGGTGTTGCCACTCCACGCCAAGGAGAGATCATGGCATGGCTGATGTGGCACAGCGAGGCGATGCCTTTCCACTCTTAGTATCAAGGATATTTTGGTTATTTTACTAATTCCATTCCTTAAATTTTGAATTATTTTACAAAGAAAACAATTAAAAAAATACAAACTGAATTTATACAAATTACCTTTGAACATATCGAATAATAAAAGTGTGAATTTAATTTAGAGACGAAACAAACATGTACTACGTACTATGCAATTCTCCCTCTATCCCTAAGAGATCTTTCCCTTTCATTTTTTCCTCCCAAAAAGTCTCTTCATTTTATATTTTTAAAGTCATTTTCGCACATGCTAATTTTTATATATCTATTACACCATATCAATACACTATTAATCTACACATTACATCGATACTAATTTTGAAAAATCAAAATAAAAATATCTCTCCTTTAAATTTTACTTCCTTCGTTTCTTAAAACACTTCCTCTTTTATATTTTTTCTCTTTTCTTGAAAACACTTCTATTTTTTATTAAAAAAATACTTTTGCCCTTTCTTATCCTACCTATCATATCATACTTTCTCACTAATAATCTATCCATCACATCTTACTTTTTACCCATTATATTAAGAGCAAAGTTAGAAAGTCAATCATAAATATACACTCTTTATTTTGGCGTAAAAAGTCAAAATAGAATTTATTTTAAGAAAGGAAGGGAGTATAAAAGTTAAAAAAGTTAAAATGGGAAAGAGAGAGATTTTGGGAGTATATTGAGAGGTTGACAATTAGTTAAGGAGGGAGCACAATTAATTGCATTATACGAATTTTGATGAGTCCCTAAATTCTGAAGAAAGAGTATTGGGAGACTTGCATTGAATTCTTTCTTTCTTTCTTTCTGGCCGGTGGCATAAATTATTATTTTGGAACGTGGAATAGGAAGATTGGGTGGTGTGCAGAGTGTTTCACAAGGCCACGGCAGCAGTTGCGGGAATCCAAACGGAGAATAAGAACGGTCGGATTGATTCATTTGTGGATAACCTAATTGTTCCCCATACTCCTACCAATTCATCAACAACGACGACCTTGCCGCCGCCGCCTTTGACTGATTATGAGTACTATTATTATTATTCACCTTCTGTTCCAGCTGGCGCAGAACCCCCGACGACGACGACGGCGGCCCATTTCCACCAAGACTTGAAGCCCATGGGCACGGGGTACCCTCCAAAAATGCTAGAAAATTACCATGCATGCCCTTATGATGAATCGGACTTCATTTTCCTGCAGCCTCCTCACGAACAAGTCCCCGCCGAATTAGAAACGCCGGCGAAGGAGAAGCTCGACGACGGCGCCGGGAGCCGCCAGCGGCCGTCATTTGATGAGGACCCTTTGGATAGCGGGGATCATCCTGCAGGGTATCATCATAATACTAATAATTATGTGGTCATGGATGGGGAGGCTCTTGATCATTACTCTATTTGGGACTACTGATGATCCATGCATATACCCATCCACGTACAGTTTGTGCCCAACTTTGAATTTATTTGTCTATCATGCCGCATCACAAACGTACAGTTTACATGATCCATCTTAATTTAGACACATTGTATGCTTTGATCAATCATTATCGTCATTTGTGTACTAGCTAGCCATAGGCATGCATGTAATGGTGATTTTTAGTATTTAGGTATAACATCATGTTTGTATGTAGTAGTATTAGTATGTGACATACTCCGATCCGTATGTTATTATGTTTAATATATTTATTATAATCACGGTTCTCTTGACAATAATTCTTGTTATCATATATAATGAAAACAATTAAAATTAGACACCTACAATGATGATGGAGCACAAGTGAATTTTTTTTTGAAGGCGGAGCACAAGTGAATTAGTTGTCTTTTTCTTGACTTATACAATGACTTTTCATCACCTCTATGTTAGAGTGTTAGATAATTAATTATGGTCAATATTAATTGTAGCAGATTTTGTATTTTAGTCTACTTCTATTATTCTTTTTCTAGTTCTAGTTGGGTTTGTATTCACATTTATAAATAATCTACCATGCATTTCATTATTACTTGATCAATACAATTGTTCTATTAATTCAATATGGTATCGGAGCTCTAGGTTCATCTTTTTCTTTCTTTTCTCGACTTCACCGCTGCATATTGTGGCTTGACCGCCATCGTGGTCGTAGATCCAGTGTCTCCGATAGCGGCATGTTGCCGTCAGCGTGGTACCGTGACTTCGACCTGTTGAATGTCATCGTCCTTCTGTGCATCGTTCAAGGATGGCAAACGGATCTAGTAGTAAAGATCTGTTCGATTCTCTTTTGGGAGGTTTGAGACTTTTTTCTTCGTAATCTGCACTCTCTCGTCCCTGTGAAATTAGACGATTCCAATTATCCGTCGTGGTCATCTACTCTCAAAGCAACTCTTCAGGCACATCATCTTTTTTGGCCGCGTTGATGGTACTGTGACACCACCATCATCGATGATCCTTGATGAAAAAGCTCCTCTCAATGCGGACAAGCAACCCGTTTTAAAAGCTAACATTGCCTAGGAACAATAAGTGATCATCGATGCCCAACCCCGCGCCTCACTTCTTTCTCCAGCAATTCAAAATTTGGTTCATCTTTACTCTACTGTTGTTGAGTTTTGGATCAATTACATCAATGGTACAACTCTCTATCTTGTACCCATATTTTTTCAATTAATCGAACAACTACACAATCTGCGTAAAGGCCAGTTGACTATGCAAGCATATTTAGATTCTGTGCTCCAAATTGTTACGTCCCTTGCTCTAGCCAAAGAACTTATATATTCCTGAACAGGATGTTATTCTCAATGTACTCTGTGGTCTACCGTTTGAGTATTCCTCTATTAAACAAAATATTCTAATGAATATTGTAGATCTTACGTTTAACACAGTTTCATCGTGGTTGTTAACTAAAGAGCTTAATCTTCAGATTGAGCAAAAGTTGCACGTTGGTTCTCTTGCTCCTTCCTCCACTGAGCTCTACAAGCCATTATACACTTCTAGTGGGCGTGGTCGTGGCAACTCCAGTCATGGTCGAGGTAGGCATCTGGGAAGTCAAGGAGGCGGTGGTCAGACCGGCGGCAGTGGTGGCTATTTTCCGACAAGCGGTAATGGCGGTTGTGGTCGTGGGCCACCGCGCGGTCCAGGTCTAATCTGTCACATTTTTGGAAGGCCTAATCATGGTTTTTGGGAGTGTTAAAACCGTTATGAAGAAGATTTTTCTAGCGGCCCCTCCTCCAATCCTCCTAATGTCTAAGCTGTGTATATGTAGAAATTGGTGAAAACTGATCTGCTTTGATTGATTAGTAAGAGTCGTATATATATAAGAATACATAACGGGCTAGTTTACAACGTGGGCCCAATACAAACTAAATACAAATACCCGATAACACTCCCCCTCAAGTTGGCGCATGAAGATCCTGAATGCCCTACTTGCACAATAAAAAATCAAAAATAGGTTTGCCCAACGGCTTAGTGAAAATATCGGCCAACTGGTATCGTGCCGGAACATATCTTGTCGACACCTCACGTCGCTGTACACTCTCTCGAACTGTGTGACAATCAACATCCACATGCTTCATTCATTCATGGAAAACTGGATTAGCTGCAATGTACAAAGCTGATTGATTGTCACAATATAATCGTGGAGGATATAAAATAGGAACACCCAAGGCGAGAAGAATTCCTTGCATCCAACGGACTTCCACACAAGCATTTGCCATAGCCCTGTACTCCGCCTCTGCAGAAGATCTAGCTACAGTGGTTTGCTTCTTCGTCTTCCATGATACTGGAGAAGTCCCTAACATGATAAAGTACCCGCTAATAGACCGTCGGGACATTGGGCAACTGGCCCAATCAGAATCACAATATGCAGAGATTTGTAAATTGCTGGTAGCACTGAGAAAAATGCCCTGACCCGGATGACCCTTGATGTACCGAAGAACACGCATGGCGGCATTCATGTGATCCAGAGTAGGACCCTGCATAAACTGAGATAATACATGGACAGAATAACAAATATCCGGCCGAGTGATGGTGAGATAGATCACCCGACCCACGAGACGGCGGTACCGCGCAGGGTCCCGCAAGGCAGCCGCGGTCGACATGCCAAGCGCATGCGTCGTGGGTAATGGTGTGTCCGCCGGTTTACAACCCAAAAGGCCGGCCTCCTGTAAGATCTCCAGAGCATATTTACGTTGACACAGTACCATACCCGAAGCAGAACGGGCACATTCAATTCCCAAAAAATATTTGACCGGGCCTTAATCTTTGAGCTGAAAACACCTGTCTAAATATCGTTTAAAGGAAGCGCATAAAGATGAGTCATTGCCTGCAACCAAGATATCATCAACATAGACTAAGACCGTAAGAATATCAGGGCCATGATGAAGAATAAACAGAGTATGATCCTTATGAGCCTGTTAAAACCCCCACTGACGAAGTGCAGTACTGAGTTTATGGAACCAATTACGGGGAGACTGACGGAGGCCATATACAGATTTCCGAAGATGACAAACTTTGCCAGGAATAGAAAAACCAGGAGGCATTCGCATATACACATCCTCAATAAGATCACCATTTAAAAATGCGTTATTAACATCTAACTGATGAATTTCCCAACCTCGTGCAACAGCAATAGATAATAAAATATGCACCGTACCCATTTTTGCTACGGGAGCAAAAGTATCTGTATAATCCGTACCAAACTCCTGATGATTTCCCAAAACAACCAGACGAGCTTTATCACGCTCCTTTGTCCCATCCGAGTGAAACTTGGTACGGTAAACCCACTGACACNGGGGGGGGGGGGGGGGGGGGGAGATCAGTGACCTCCCACGTGTGATTATTTTCCAAAGAAGTGATCTCCTGTTGCATAGCCTGTCTCCAATTGGCATATTGCATGGCCTGTTTGAAGGACGTTGGGACCTCACACGAAGTCACAGCAGCCAGAAATCCCCGGTACTTGTCATGCAATTTCTCATAATGAACAAAATTGTGGATAGGATATCGCGTACCTGAAGACTTAGACGAAACAATGCGAGGAGCAATGGGAGTAGATGTCCGGGCGGTATGGCAGTATTAATTAGACAACCTGGCAGGAGGTCGCCGATCACGAGTAGGACCGACGGGCGACAGCAGACTGTCTGGGGTAGACTCACCGTCGCTATCGGAATGGGGAGGTGACTGCCCGGAGGAGAGTAGTGACGCTGGGGACAAATGAGGAACGGCTGGACGCTCGGCGGTGGGAAAATCCGCATGGGCTGGCCGAGTCGACCCTTCGGGTGGCGTGGTGGGTTTATTGGACAAAGCAAACGGGAAAACCGTTTCGTCAAACGAAACATCTCTGGTATAGAGAAACCGATGGGATTCAAGATCATAGACGCGCCAACCCTTAGTCCCTGTAGGATATCCCACAAACATACATTTCAGACTACGGGGGTGAAATTTATTTTGCGGACGAGGGTTAAGACGAACATAACACAAACACCCAAATGCCCTTAGATGAGACAAGTCTGGAGGTTTGGAAGAAAGGAGTTCAAAGGGTGATTTGCCCTGAAGAAGAGGGGTGGGGGTACGATTGATAAGATACACAGCAGTGCGCACGCATTCGCCCCAAAATTCAATGGGCAAAGAAGCCTGAAACATTAAAGAACGGGCGACATTAAGAATATGCATGTGTTTGCGTTCCACACGCCCATTTTGTTGTGGGGTGTTAACGCATGACGTTTGAATGAGGACCCCCATGGTGGTGTAAAATTGACGCAAAGGTTTATTCACAAATTCAGTACCATTATCCATGCGAACAACTTTTATAACTTTCCCGAATTGGGTTTGAATCATTTGGAAAAACTGTTTTAGACAACTAGTAACTTCGGTTTTGTCAATAATAAGGAAAACCCAAACAGCTCTAGAATGATCATCAACAATTGTGAGAAAATAATGAGAACCAGTAGACAAACACGGAGAATATGGGCCCCATAAATCACAGTGAATTAAATCAAACAAGGCATCATCTTTATTAAGACTTGAAGAAAAACTAGAACGAGTTTGTTTGGAAAGGAAACAAATGTCACAGGACTGAAAATTTTTAATTTCAGCTGCACTTTTATTAAAAGGAGGTAAAGCCAAAACTTGAGGTGATGGATGGCCAAGACGCTGATGCAAAAGAGAGATGGATTCGGCTTTGGACGCCTAGGCGAAAGAGGGAAAGACATAAACTCCATTGTGCACTTCACATATTCCAATCTGCGTCTTCAAAGTTTGGTCCTGTATCACACAAAATTGGTCGTCAAAGAAAACATGACAGTTGTGAGAGTTAACAAGACAACTCACAGAGATAAGATTGCACTTTAAATTAGGCACATAAAGAACATCAGTGAGAATCAAATCCGGAGACACTCGCACTCGTCCACACGAGTTGGCTACGACACGTGCTCCGTCAGGTAGGCTAATAGTACAAGGAGGCACGGATTTGATATCCGTTAAATTGGAGAAAACTCCAGTCATATGATGAGAAGCCCCGCTGTCTATTAGCCATTCACATGAATTAATACCGGACGTACCTTGTAACCTGTCTGAAGTTGATGGCGATGATTCTAGCATGAAAAAAAACGGGCAACTTGATCGGGTGATAACGCAGAGAGGGATGGGGGTGCCTCGATCGCTGCATGAGCCGAAGGTCCAGTGCTTCCCCCATGCTGGCCGGCGGCAGTACCTACGGCAGTGGGTACCGGCTGGGCAGCAGACTGGCCTCCTCGGTTCCCGCGACCTCCCCCTCGACTGAAGGAATTACGGCCACGTCCTCTGCTAGAATTGGGAAAGCCAATGATCATATAACATCTATCAACGGTATGTCCCGATTTTCCACAATGAGTGCACTGGTACATGTTCGGAGTCGTCCGTGTGGTAGCAAACGCCATGGCATTCGTGTGATCGTCACGAGCACGAACCACACTTTTATGTCGTTCTTCTTGGGTGATCAAATAGAACGCCTTGTTAAGATCCACCAACGGTTGAGTCCCGAGTATTTGCCCACGTATGCTACTGAATTGCTCATCATCCAACCCCAACAGAAACTTCCGAGTTTTTTATTTTTCCGCTCGATCCTTCAACAGAGCCGCCACCTCACACTTGCAACCGCAAGTGGGATCCTCCATGCCATACAATTTATTCCGAATTGTGACAAATTGATTATAATAAACGACCACAGTTTGACCTTTCTGACGAAGATTCTGTAACTCGTTTTCGAGTTGGTAAATGTGAGGCTCATTTACCGTGCTATAACGCGCCTTCAAATCTGCCCACATTCATGAACCACGGCATGTGAAGCAATACTGGCTTGAATTGTTTCTTCAACACTGTTAAAAATCCAGCTACAAATTGTAGAATTATTCGCTTCCCAAGCCTTAATTTCCATATGATCTGTAGGTTAAGGCACACCAACGGGAGACAAAAACCCTGCCTTGCTACGACCCTTCAAAGCATTCACAATAGTCTTTTCCCACGTATCAAAATTATCGCCTTTCAAGACATGTTTCGTGAGAGCATTACCTGGGCCTTCAGAAGGATGAAGATAATACTCAGACGAGGGATCATGAATCAAACGGGTTTTCTTCATGGTAGACGCCATCACCGATCTTCAAAGCTTGGCACAAAGGACCAAACCGAGACACTCTCGCTCGCCGTGCAGCTTCTGGCGAAGAACCGTCCAAGGCTGCCGAACACACAGCGATAGCTGACGAAAGAGGCGATCGGGGTTAGTTACTCAATCGGGAGCAACACCAGAGAATCAGACGTATCGTGCCCAGGGTTTGGCTCTGATACCATGTAGAAATTGGTGAAAACTGATCTGCTTTGATTGATTAGTAAGAGTTGTATATATACAAGAATACATAACGGGCTAGGTTACAACGTGGGCCCAATACAAACTAAATACAAATACCCGCTAACAGTATACTACCTATCATATTGATTCTAGTTAGCATTGACACCTTGATTCTGGTGAAACTACTCATATGATTTCTGAACTCTTTAGGTTGCATAATCATATTCCTTATCACAGCTCAAACTCTATTTTTATCGCTGGAGGACATTCTCTTTTGGTAATGACGATTGGCTCAGGACAAGTTACTGTTGGAACACGGGTTTACGCCTACGTCGTACTAACCCGTGTTCGTTTTATGACAGGTTTTGATAATGCCAAACCGCCGTGACAACAAATACTAAACTGAGAAAATCAAAGGTGAAGGAACATGGCATGATGGTTTGAGAATCAAGAACCAAGAATCAAGAACGAAGACTTAGAATTGTATTGAGTCGGTCTTAATTTGATCAAGACCGGCACAAA